TGTGTGTGTGTGTGTGTGTGTGTCTGCTTTTCCTCAGCTGTTTCCTGCCAGCTCAGAGAGCAGCAGACTGTGACGGCCTCTCGCTCCGCTCACAGCTCGCTGCTTTGCTTCTTCCAACTGACCAAAGGAGTCGAGAAGGTTTCTGACGACGTCGCCATGAGGAAAGTCTGACTGTGAAATCGATGCCACTACAATTTGATCCTCTCTCCCGCCTGCACATCCCATGATGAAGATGAAGAAAATCAAATGTTGGTGGAACAGATTCTTTTCAAAGTGTTATCTGCTCATCACTATGAACATGGCCTGACCTTTATGCTTTCACTGTCCATTTTAATCATTTCAATAGGTGTAAAGTGTTTGGACTGAACAACCAGAGGCCAAACAAACCAACAAGCAGGACAAAGACGTGTCTGCCTTCACCATACAACCCCCGACCAAGCAGCAGGAATACACATGCTCACTCACACAGACTCATCTGTGCTTAAATAAGACATGTTTAATCTTCCTCTGCTGTTATCAGCTGTATCCTCCCTGTTCTAAGTCTCTTATCAGACGGCTGCTACTTATGAGGTCGGTTACAGAGGAATTCAAAGTTTTAAAATGGCATTTTCAAAGCTCCAACAGGCCACACGTCTGTTTCTGTTCTGTCCTGAACTGATAACGGATGTTTTATTGAGCCTCCAACACAACTCTGGTTTATTTGGACACAAAGCTGATTAAAACCATCAGCTGTGGATCAAACGATTTATCAGCTGAGCCACTACAGGGCTGGTTATCAACAACCAGCCTCCACTGTGTTTCCTGACAAAGAAAAAAGGGATTGCGGAGGATATGCAGTATATTTTGGGCATTACATGGGTATATATTTTCTAGTCGTTTCTCTTCTGTATCTGAAAGGAGCTGCACAGTCTTCCAGATCAGAAAAAGACGTCTTATCTGTGAGCACCACTTCTCCAATCAGCTTTGATTTCAGGCCCCGGCTCCTTTGGTCGTCTTTTCCTTTTCTCTTTCTCTCCATGAGTTTGTTAAGCTGCTCAGACTAAGACGCTTTCCATCTTTTTTGCAGAAGTGCTCTCCCAACAAAAAGAGGAATTTAAGTCATTTTGTAGTGGGGATAAAAGTAAGCTTATTAGGTGATGAACGGACGCATGGGTAAGGACTAATAAAGATGAAATGTTGACTTCTTTTCTGACATTTTAGGCACAGAAATATCTTTATTTACCATGTTTACAAAACTTTACTTTTTAACACCAACCTGCTCCGAAGGCGAAGAAGAAGCTCTTATCGGGGTGTTCCTCCAGCAGGGCCTTGACCCTCTTGCCCATCCTCTCATTCCTTTTGTAGATGAGCTCCTGTCGGAAGTAGCTGTCTATTTCCTGGGCGGTCACCTGCTCGCTGGGTGGCAGCGTCACGTTATTGAAGTTGGGGACCTACAGGGTTGAAGAGGTGACGGTTTGGGTGAGTTGCAAAAAATGAGAAATTGTTTTGTCTACATGAAAGAAGTCAAAAGAAGGAATGTGAAGGCAAGTTATGAGACAAAGGACAACACAGGAGGAGGGACAACAAAGATGTGGCGAGGGCGATGGAGAGACGAAGGAAAAGCAGGAAGAGTAAATCAGGAACGGTGTGGAGAAGCTGCAGGGGTGGAGGAGGTGGTGTGGGGGGTGGAGGGTCAGTCATAGGGTGAGGATCGAAGGTAAAAGGTCAAGGGTTGTGTCACTGAGACACTCCAACAGGTCAAGGGGTCAAAATGATACGTAGCTTATTAACTAGAGGGAAAGAAGGAAGATAGGATAAGATAAGGGGACTGACCTGTGAGGTGTCATGGTTAAAGATGATGGAGTTGAGATCTCCACAGTTATAGTGCCTGATGAGATCTTCAGTGGTGTAGGGAACCTGGAGGCTTCCCGCCCTCAAAGACTCCTGCTGTAGCAACGTCTGGTTCAGGGCAAAGATCACCTGGAACGACACAGTGAGGATCAGTTATTGATCGGTTCATATTTCCCCCGATGAAAGACTTAATGTCTGTGACAACAAACAAGAAGTTGGGCAGTTGGAAGTTTGTGATTCAAGAGGCAGAGGAGGTGGAACAAGAGTTTTAGGTAAATTCTCAGTTTCGTCATCCACCCACATCGGCTAAGGTACGTACTGACCCCTATGCGGAAAGTTTGTGACATGCAGCCCAAACTTTGCGACTGTAGGTGTCGACTGCTCACGCTCCAGGTACGATCCATCCACCTCCTGGGATGGAATGTGGGATCAGGTAAGAATGTGAGGAACACCAGACCCACAATGACCATCAACAAGTACACAAATCCTAGCAGTAGCATCTCTGTGAGGTTGTAGTTACTCGCAAGTGCTTTGAGCTAAAAGCTAACATGCCAATGAGAACATGTTGATTTTTGTAATGTTTGCCTGCTGTTGAAAATTAGAACATTTTGACCAGATCTTTGTGACATTTGACTAAAATACAACACACTAAAGCTGCTAGCAAGAAAAACAACCTCAATGGACGGCAGGTACCACAGTGGAAACAGGATAAGAAAAGAAAACACTTGAAACTTCTTGGGTGACAAAACAGATCTGAGTTAATTATTTCAAACTGAAATATTTATTACAGCAAAGGAATCAGTTTCCAGTTGAGGCTGTCGAAGTCGCTGATCTGCTCTGCTGCAGAGATTCAGCTTAAGAGCGTGACCGTGAAATCAGCCTGTTTGGTGAGAGGGCCCCGGTGAGCCCTGCCGCCTGTGATCAGCACCGCACAGACACATGCATGCACATGCACATACATGTGTGCACACATACACATAAACACGCTCCACTCAGCGAGGCCGAGACGGCTGCATGGAAACCGCCACCGCTCATCAGCCAATGGCTTCCCTGTGATCTCTTCGCCACACACAAACACACGCACACCTTTCACCCTGAGTTTGATTACTGCAGAAGAGGCGAGATTTTATGGTTCGGTTGTTTCTCAAAGGGAACAATTTGTCAAAGTGAAGACGTGTTTTGTCAGCTGTGGTAACATGTAAATGTGTCTGCACGTTTTTACAATCCAGGAGGCATCTGTGCATGTATTCACTAGTGTGCGTGTGTGTGTGTGTTGTGTCAAATGAATTCTGTATTGATATGCATACCCGTACGCCAACCAGGCCGACCCAAGCGGCTGTTTTTTTTTCATGTTCTGTTTTCTAAGGTGCCCTGATGACACTTTTGTGGGAGCCTCGGTGCAGCAGAGGAGAGGAGGAGAGGAGGGCAGCGTGGAGCAGATGCCTTCTTGTCAGGGGACAAAGGACCCCTCCGTCACCCTCTCTTCTCCTCTCCTCGCCGCTCCCTCCAGCTTTCATCGGCCGCGCATCAAAGTGGCGCTCTGCATATGAAAAGGACCCCGTCTTTATGCCACGCAAATTAGCCTATCGCCGCCCCTCCCCGACTCGTTTCACAAAAAACACCCTCACATCTGTGCCACGTCCGTGAAGGAAGGCCCTCATCTGCAGGGTCTCCCCTTTTTCTCAGCACCCTCTTCTCTTTCTCCGCTCGCCGTGCCTTTCAGCCCCTTAAATTATGGCTGTGAAGGGAGGAGGGGAGAGAGAGAGGGGGGGGGGGGTGCAGTCTTGGCCTGATAATAAGAAAGAGAGTTAAAGGTTTTTTAGAGAGGAAAGAGATAGACAAGAAAAAACAAACAAGAAAGTAAGGATGCAGGAAACCGGAGCAGAGAGGGAAACTTAAACGAAGGATTTCATTCTCTCTGTTCTGATCCTCCACTTGTGTTTGTGCGCTCTGGGTCAGTGGGTGCACTTTCCCACTCGGCCCCTTTCATCAGGTTCCCCCTGTTTCTTCTTCTCCTCCACTGCTGCCCCCGCCCCGCCCCTCGAGCACGCACACACAGCCACACAGCCACACCCCTTGCTGATATCAAAGCAAGCGCAGCCAATGAAAGTCAATAATTGTCCTTTGTCATGGAAATGTCCCCTCTTGTTGAGATGGAGTGGGGTGGCTGTGTGCATCCAGAGCAAACATCATCACAGACAGATTCCCACATGTGGAGATCTGGAGTGTTCAGCGGCTCGGCTAAAAAAAAATAATTCTGGAGTGAGTTGGCTTAAAGCTTAGTGAGTATCAACCAGACGAGGATCTTTGAGGTTTTACCTTCATGAAATCGTGGATCACTTTCCAAGAGCCATAAAAATCATGAGTCTGTTGGGAAAATGTCCTCGCAAAGACAGATGGCAGCAAATTGTGTTTTGGTTTCTGTGGGAAAATGTCTAAAGTGGCATCTTAAGAAAACTTGCAACCACATTCATTAAAGCAGAGATGCAGCTAGTGAGTCATAAGCTGCTCCTCAGACATGCACTGAACTCCAGAGATCCTTCGCAGTTTCTCCAGAGGACGTGTATGTGTGAGCGCAAACGTCCGAGTGACCGCCTCCGGAGATCCTGCTGAGTTTCTCTGACTGGCCTGGAAACTCAAACTAGTCCAGTTGACCTGTTTTTACCACTTGGATAGAAACAGAAATATGATATTTCGTTCACGTTTGCCATGTTCTGTTCCACTGTTTTACCGGAGCATTTTTACAGGGATTAAGTCATCTCCTTCTCGAATGTTTTAATTGCACAGGGAGATTCAGCTCGACCAGTTGATTATATTGATGCTCTCATCTTCTAATAACTAATTGGACAAAAAGTGTGCATCTGCTGAGCCGCCTGTTTTCTTCTTGTACAAGTGAATTAGCAGCGAGCAGAATCCAGAAAGAAGTTCTACACATGGCGACTTCATCCGCACCATGTTTCAACTTTATCACACGTCGTGAACATAACAAGTGACGATAAGAAGACGTGAGGTATTTTATCTGAGCGACAACGTGTCAGCGGCACATGTTGTCTGTGCCGTGTGTGTAAACTGTGTGTGAGGTCCTGTCACAGTACGAATGTGGTGTAAAGTGAACAGCTTGTAAACATAAGGATAAACTCCTTGTACGGTTAAAGTCTGTGGCTAATTGAAGTTGTTCTGAATGTATGAGCTGGCTCTGGATGTTGGGAATGTTACAGTAACTTAATTTCCAATTCAGTTTTAGTGAAACGCTAAAGAGGAGCATGTGTGTGCCTGCATGCAACATGTGTGTGTTTATTCTTGTTTTTCTGACTCATTGTGTGCATGTGTGAGCAGAAAACGATGTGTCCGGGTTTAAACAGGTGTTTCAAAAGTAGTGTGTCCACACTGTCGACAAACCGTGTGTTCAGACAGACACACACACACACACACACGAACTGGAGATGACACCTGGCCATCTCCCAAGTACAAATGAAGACTTCCAACGCAGCTCCTCTGTTTCCTCCTGAGTCTGCGATGTTATCAGAGTAATACAACTCCCTCTCTTTCTCCTCCTCACTCTGTTTCTCACTCTCTGTCTCACACGCACACACACACAAGAAACTGGAGAGTCAGAGAGAGGGATGAAGAGAAAGAGTGTGAGAGACAGTGACTCTCTGTGCTGATGTTATCAGAGGAGGAGAGATGAAGGCCGACAGAATCAGTCAGAGATTTGGGCTCCAAGTAACTTATGAGTGATGTTATCAGTGAAATGTTAGTCGGAGTAGTCAGGCCGAAAACAAGAGCCATCAGGATCACACAGTGGAATTGCCAGTGACTCGGAAACTCTGAAGTCCTGAGGCAGCACAACTTCAAGCTTCAGTTATACTCTCTTTGTGGTAGTGCACACAGACACCACAGGCACGCTGTTGTTGTTATACTGCTTGATAATCTGTTTGGAGGACACATGCGTAGTTGGTGCAGTTGTAGCATATAATCAACAAATGGAGGACTGCAAAAAGAAATGTACATCCATCCGACCCGAGCATACACTTTATATATAAATATATATATATATATAAATATATATGTGTGTGTGTGTGTTTTAACTGCAGGAGGTAAAGCTTCTGATATTTCATAGTCCAAACAAGGTGAGGTAAAGTTTTCATAGAAGTAGTAGATACACAAGTGAACAAGACTTATATCCTGTAGCCTACATAAAGATGGACGACAGAACAGGTCCCCTAAAGTGAAGTCAAAGTGTCTTTATCGCCCCCTGATGTCTGGCTGCAGTATAGGTCATAAACCTCACATCCTCCATGTTAACAGTTCGGACATGAGCCAAATTAAAAAGTCAAAATACACGCCAAATCCTTTTTTCTCAAAGATAGTTTCTTGCATTTTAGGTAGTCACACTGATGTTTGTTCAAGTGTTTCATTTATCAAGTAGGATTGTTTTTGATTTGTTTTCTTATGCTATATTGGTTGAGTGTGTTAATGGGTGAGACGTTGATACCAGGGCTCCGCACCCTGATTCATCTGGGCAGAATCTGGCTCCAAATGGCGTTTTAAGCAAAAGATGGCCTCGTTCAAATCTGCCATATATTGGCTTCATTTCTGGATCGTGGGAAGAGACACCTCATCTATCTTTACATCCAGGTTATGGAGATTCAGTATACGATGTCATTAATAGTTTGTTCGTCTTCTCCCTGCTTGGGTCAGAAAATTGCAAAAATAGAAAATAGCATTTCCATTGAGAAAGAAACATACATGCCAAATCTGTCAAGGCTTAGGCTAATTCCTGGTTTGCTGTTTCCGTGTTGGTCACTTTGCCAATAAATCTCTAAATGTGGTATTAGCAAGAGGTTTTAAAGCTATGAGGTGGTGACACAGAGCTGGTGTATAATAAAAGTGTTTTAATAATGGTGGTCATGTACGAAACACAAGTGGTTTGAGAAGCTTCTCTGGACGTTTCTGAAGAAAATGGTTTTGCTGCAGCTTGTTGAGAAGAATACGACGAAAATTAAGAAGAAAAACATGAATATTTGAAAATGTTTTCACATCAGTACAGAAGTGGCTGTGTGAACAGTAGCTAATGGATATTGCGGCTGCAGAAAATGGTCAAGGTTTGATTCAGTGGGTATTCATTG